AGGATGTGTTGCCCAGACCTTCCTGTTTGTCTTTCTCAAGTCAGCAGAATATTCTGTCCTCACCATCATCTCCTATGACCGCTACGTTGCCATCTGCAAGCCCCTGCACTACGGGACCTTGATGGACAGCAGAGCTTGTGCCACCATGGCAGCAGCTGCCTGGGGCACTGGGGTTCTCTATTCCCTGCTGCACACTGCCAATACATTTTCCCTGCCTCTCTGCCAAGGCAATGCCATCAATCAGTTCTTTTGTGAAATCCCCCAGATCCTCAAGCTCTCCTGCTCACAGTCCTATCTCAAAGAAATTTGGCTTCTTGTGGTCAGTGCTGCTTTAGCATTTGGGTGCTTTGCTTTCATTCTTTTCTCCTATGTGCAGATCTACAGGGCTGTGCGGAAGATGCCCTCTGAGCAGGGACGGCACAAAGCTTTCTCCACGTGCCTCCCTCACCTGGCCGTGGTCTCCCTCTTTGTCAGCACAGGCATGGTTGCCTACCTGAAGCTCCCCTCCATCTCCTCCCCATCCCTGGACCTGGTGCTGTCATTTCTATGCTCGGTGTTGCCTCCAGCAGTGAACCCCCTCATTTACAGCTTGAGGAACCTGGAGCTCAAGGATGCCCTCAGGAAAATACTCCAATATACTTTGTTTCTCCATCAAAACTATTTTCATCACTCTCTCAAGACTACAAAAACTTAGGAAAAGCCAGATTGACTTAATTGATGTTTCCACTTTTTCTTCATGTTTGTTCATCATACCTATGTTAATTTTAATTCCAATTAAATAGTGTCCATTTTCAGTCTTGATCTTTTACTTTTTATTTCTATGTGATTAACATATTGCACTGAAGGAACCGGGCTCTTTGAATAGATAAAGAAATCAGCACAAGATCATTTGCTTTGCCTTCCATCGAGTCTGGATCATCAGAAGAGGCTCAGGATCTAATCAACAAATGCACACAGAGCAGCAGTGTCCCTGAGTTACACCTGCCACTGCCTGGTGGGGACTCTCTGCTGCCTTGGAGTTGTGCTGCTGCTTCCCTGGAGCCACGGCCGTGGGCCGCAGCAGGACGTGCTCTTTTCAGTGCTGCTCTCCTTGCACCACCTTTGCATGCTGTTCTCCTTTTTCCTTGCACTTGTGTCAGCCCTCAGGTCCTGCATTA